TAAGTCGTTTTAGTAGTTTAAGGCAAATTAATAAGTATTTTTCTAACTTTACCCTCAATAATGATGTCAATATATTCTTATTTGGTCTTGTTTATAGTTGTAATGTAATTAATGAAGAGCAAAACATATATTTAACACATAAATTAATTATTGAATTATTGTCTCCTTAGTTTAATTTATTTGGGAATTTTAAAATGACTTATATATCAAAATGGATGGAGTATTATTTTATAGAGTAAATAAGAAAATGATTTTAGAAGTACTGACATTATGGAATACATGCGTGAATAGTATGAATCTATAAGGGGCATAAAAATTTCAGTATTCTCGTGAAACTTGGGATGAAATCAATTCACAAATCTCTACCTTATCAAGTACTCTCTCCATTCACAAATAGATGTCGCTGGAGAGATTTCACAAAGTTTAAAGAGACAATAATTATCTTGTTAAAATACTATAATACCCTCATTTATTCTTAATTCAATTGTAGTCCCAATAAAATTTACTTCTAATACAATTCTACATTAAACATCACTACAATTTCCAATGTAAGGGTAATATTGGAAAAGATTGACAAAATATGTCTCGATTTGTGAGAACGACATCTATTTTGGAATATTTGGGTTTTCCTCTAACGACATCTATTTGTGAATGGAGGGAGTAGTTGCCAAGTGCCAACCATACGAATTGACTATTTATAACTATCTTGGAATTAATAGTCCATTTTCTTCCCTTTCACTAGTAGACGATAAGGAAATGTTATCTTCACACTATAGAATATTCTTTGTATTGAGCCGTTTTCGAGTATGGAATATCTTTAAATTTTTGGGTCAGTTATCTTAGTTAATTGAAGAATAGTAATAAATACAGGGAAAATTTGATGTGATTGAATCTTGATAGATAATCTCATGCAAATTTTAATATAGACGGTTATAATTTTTCTTGCAAATTTTTCGAAATGTTCAAAAATTTATAAGAGTATAGTAGACACTTCCTAATACAATATAAATCTATAAATTAATGGTCGATAAATTAATAATATCTCTAAATAATATTTTTTCAACCCAATATGGGATCATTACAAAAAATTAAAAAAGTAACAAAATAATAATTTTACAGAAAATTTCTTTGTAAATATAGATCCCATCAATATCATAAATTAATAATGATTTAAAAAAATTAGAATTAGTTAATAAAATATGAATATAGTGAAATTCGTATTTCCTTCAAATTTACATCTAAAGAGGTTCCATCTTTGATTTTTCTCATTGCATTCAAACCTCGTGTGTAATTTTCTCATACCGATGTGAAAAGTTTGATGAGTCATTACCGCATTAACTGCTTCCTTTCGATTGATTGTTTCCAAAGACATCGAACATCGAATCATCATCCATCTCCAGTTAAATTTTCAATGACTCTAGTTATAATGTCCTTCAAAGATTTTACTAATATTTATCCCGTACGTTGCACGTGAAATATGTAACAAGTGTAAAATGCGTTCGTAGGGAGACAAAAATATTATGCTTGTTAAAATATTATAGTAAACAAAAAATAATCTCCATGTTTTAGTAAAAACTACTTCACGCAACAAATAACATCCCACTTTTTGTTTTTAGTAATGACGACCAAAGACAATAATAACACCAAACACACTACTCACTATTAGTTTGGCCTAGCCTCAACTTTCTTTCTTTTCCTTTTGTTTTTTGTTTTTTTTTTGTTTTTTTTTTTTGTTGACAACAACGAATACGAAAAGCGGGGATGAACAAAGAATCCTAAATCCAACAAGTTCTTTTGCCGGAAGACAAACCCCCACCGCTACACTACTAATTCATGCGGTCAAGCAAAACAACAAAAAAACAACGCCACCACACCGAGGTCGATGGTGTCTTGTTATGATCCATCAGGGAAGGATGAATGGTGAGTTGATTGTAGATTTCCAGTCCAACTATAATTTCTTAGAAGCAATGAATTCTTTTATCTGAGTTATTTTATGACGGGATAATCAAAGAGTTTTGACAGAACATAATAATACTTTATCAACCACCATACTTGAAAATTGTTAGAAACATATCAACCAAAATAACTAGAGATGAAATCAACCAACAATTTCAAGAATTAAAATATAGTATCTGGTTATTTTGAGGTGTAGGTTTTAGATTAAATAGACCACGATTCTCAAATCTAGTGGAAGTTTTAGGATAGAAGTAGTTAGGATATCGGACTCCATTTGAGTTTCAAAAATTTTCGAATGGAAACAATATATGACCCAACAACTGGATGGTCTGAAAACAACTGATAAATCATACTGTATTTATTTTGAAAAAAAAATTAGATTAGTGATTGGATTAAGATAAAAATCATATCTATATCCCAACACTATAGTTTTTTTGGTTAAGATAAGATTCTGTTTAACCAAATACATTATTTAGACTTTTTTCATCTTAAGTCAAGTGGTAAAATTATTATTACATTGTGATAAAATTTGAGTTTTACATGAAAACTTAATTGAACTTATAATTTTATGCCAAATCAGTTTTTTCCATCATTTATTAATATATAGATTAATTTATTGTTAATTCATTGATAAGTTAATAATTATTTAATTTATTAATAAATGAATACATATATAAATTAATGATTTCTTAGAGTAATTAGAAATGATAACCAAAATTGACCAACGTATAAGTGCTATAATCCTATCATAGTGAATTGATTTTGAAGTGAAACCACGTGTAGGTTTATATGGACCTACAAGATGGTATCAGGGTGAGTTTTCATTCCGTGGATTTGTGGAAAGATTTTGACTGATCCGGCGATTTATCCAGTTAACTGACCCGTATTGGGACTTTGATTACCCCTTGCGTTTTGACTGACTTGACAGTTCATTCGGAGTTTGATTTTTCAAAGGAGTCTTGTTCGATCCATTTAAGCTTAAGAGAGTATTAAAATCCCATTTGAACTTGAAAACAAATGAAATACACTTGTTCTTCATAATAGTAATGGTAACCGAATTTCACCAATACATAATTTCTATATGTTATTATCTTTATTATCAATTAATTTTGAGGTGAAACCACGTATATATTCATATAAATTTTTAAGAAAGTTCTAACAGTATAATTTTACAGATGTTTCCTGTATACGGAAAGGTAATATGATCTTTCGTAACTGATTGATGATACCAACGATGTTTCATTTTCTTTCTTTTTTTTTTTTTTCTAATTTTTGTATTGACTAAAAACGTTAAAGCCGTAAATCATTGACGCAAAGGTTTGATGTACAAATCGTGACTTTTTTAATTAGCAATCACACAAGTCATACCCAGAGAGGGAGTGATAGGTGTGGCCAAAAAGTGTTCCGGACGTTCACGTTTGTACCGCTATATTTACATTTTACAATTATGTCACTATTCCATGGTTAAATTATTTTCAAAATAAAGCAAAAAAAAAAAAAACTCAAACAACAAGTCACGGCTAAAATATTTTCAAAATACATATTATTAAACTATTTTCAAAAAAAGTCGTGGAGTACTTTTCCAGTTTATGTTTTTATTTTTTTTTTTGTTTGTTTGTTGCAGTCAATGTGATTTGGAAGAGTCGTATGAAGTATGAACCACATATTTTTTGTTTCGGTTTAAAATTTAGTTAAAAAAAGATTGTAAGTTTTTTTTTTTTTAAAGAAGATTAATATTGGTTTCTCACTTACTTCGGTGTGACTTGAACCTGTGACCTATTGGTCAAAGGTAAAACGTTTTATCACTAGACTGCACCTCGTTGTTAGATTGTAAGTTATATAAAAGGGTCAGGCGTATAGGATGCTATAACTTAGGAGTAGGTGAAGCTCAAAATTTTTCTGCTAGAAAAAAGTTACTATCATAAATTTATTTACTGTGTTTAAGTAAAAAAGCTGTAAAAGAGATGAAAAATAATTGTACACGAAAAACTTGTATTTATCTTAGTAGTTTATTTCTTTTTTTACATTTCTAGTCTCTATATATTAGTAATAAAAATTTACTACAATCACATGAAAATTTTAGGTGGGCATTACAACAAATGATAGGAAAAAAGAAAAGAAAATTCAAATGCCTGTCCTTTTCAGTTTTCTTTACTTTTCGTTTGTTTTCCACAGCTTTTACTAAGCCACAAATCAAATCAAATAATCAATGTAGGATTTTCTTGTCGTTGAACTTAAAAAAGAAATTCCAGCAATTTTCATTTTCTCCATGGAATTTTCCATTTGGCTAAAATGCTATATTCTGGATTGGCTAAGTATTTGTGGTATTTAGTATAGATTCTGGGCATCATTCATTCATTCATTGATTCACTCATTTGAATCCCCCCCCCCCCCACGTCATCCATTCAGACACGTATCCCACAAACCATGGAAACAACCCAAGGCGCCAATTTTTAATCTTGTTGTTGATGAAAAATGATAAAAAAATAAATTTTTTCAAATTTAACCGCAAGAGAAGAAAAGGGAAGGATTGTCTGCTCTGTTTCTGAAATTCCGATGTGGGTTCTTCTCGGAGGATTCCGGAACGAATTATGAAGGTACCCATGTTTGTGTTCTTTGAAAAGAAGAGAAATAAACCTATGGCTTTCCATCTTTGCATAATTCTCCCGCCTTGCGTTTCTGAAAAGGAAACAATCAAAACAAATGTAAAGATTACTCTTTTGTTTTTCATTTTGCTTGTTTGATTCTACTTGGGTTTTTTTTTTTTTTTGTTTCTTCACGAGATGACACAAGTTAGCTGTTTGCCTGCTGGTTTGTGCTGTTTAATGATGAATGCTTAATTTAATTGTTTGTAGGCAGGTGTGGTTTGAGTTGACTTATCAAGCTTTTGGTTGTTGAAAATTTGTTTCACTTTGGAAAGGATACATTTTTAACGGAAGTGATTTTAGTTAAAGTTGCTTACTTTTGTTTCACTTTTGCATTTATCAAGGAACAAACAGACTACCATAAAAGGATGAACCTTTTGTAGGGGAAGAGATTACAGTATGGATTTTGTACTGAATGAAGCAGCAAAAACTGGAGCCCAGAAAATGTCTTCCAGTTCAGCAGCTACTTGGCTCACACAGCTTTCATGTTCAGCTTCAGAATCTGCAAACAAGAATTTGGTCTCAGGTTCTGTTGTTCTTCAGTGGTTAAGATTCATATTCTTTTCTCCATGTCCTCAGAGAGCTCTGCTGTCTGCAATTAACATCTTGCTGTTGGTTATTTTCCTCATATTCGCCTTGCAAAAGTTGTGGTCTAGATTTCGCTCTAAAAGTCGTTCCAGTTCTGATGTAAACGAGTCTCTTTTAGAAAGAAAAGCAATAAGTGCCAGTTCCCCTCTCCCTGATGTTAGCAATTTGTTTAGATTGACTCTGATTGTGACCATTATGTTAGCTCTCTCTTCAATAGTATTATGCATTCTTGCATTTAGTAAGAATAGCCAAAGGTCATGGAGGGTAACAGATGGAATGTTTTGGCTGCTGGAAGCCATAATTCATGTCATTATCAGTGTACTAATTGTCCATGAAAAAAGGTTCCGGGCAGTTACTCATCCATTGACTCTTAGAATTTACTGGATAGTGAACGTATTTGTCCGAGCTTTGTTCTTCATTTCAGGGCTTACAAGATTAGTATCCTTAAATGAAACTGGTAGTTCGACATTAAGATTAGATGACATAGTTTTAGTAGTCGAATTTCCTTTGTCCATTGTTCTTCTGATTGTTGGGATTAAGGGGTCTACCGGGATTACAATAAATGAAGATAATACTGAGTCTTTAAGGAATGGAGAGATCAAGGTGCATGAGTTACCTAAGAATGATCCTTCTGTCACTCGTTTTGCTTCGGCATCTCTTGTATCCAAAGCCTTTTGGCTATGGGTTAATCCTCTGTTGGCGAAAGGGTATAAAGCTCCATTGAAGATTGATGATGTACCTACTCTTTCGCCTCAACATAAAGCTGAGAGAATGTCAGAGCTTTTTGAAAGGAATTGGCCTAAGCCTGAAGAGAAATCTAGGCATCCTGTCAGAACTACATTGCTCCGCTGCTTCTGGAAGGAAATTGCTTTCACGGCCTTCCTAGCTATTTTGAGGCTCTGTGTCATGTACATTGGGCCAACCCTAATTCAGCGTTTTGTCGATTATACTGCCGGGAGAAGAAGCTCAGTTTATGAAGGCTACTACCTAGTAGGAATCCTATTGACTGCGAAGTTTGTGGAAGTTTTGAGCTCACATCAGTTCAACTTCAACTCCCAAAAACTTGGGATGATGATACGTTCCACACTCATTACTTCTCTGTACAAGAAGGGTTTAAGGCTTTCATGTTCAGCTAGGCAAGCTCATGGAGTTGGACAGATTGTAAATTACATGGCTGTGGATGCACAGCAACTCTCTGATATGATGCTTCAGCTCCATGCTATATGGTTAATGCCTTTGCAAATTACTGTTGCTATGTCTATACTCTATAGTAACCTGGGGGTTTCTACTTTTGTGACACTACTAGGACTTGTTTGCATAATATTGTTTGTGGTGTTTGGAGTTCGAAGGAACAATCGTTATCAGTTCAATATTATGAAGAACAGAGACTCCAGGATGAAAGCAACTAATGAGATGCTGAACTATATGCGTGTGATCAAGTTCCAAGCTTGGGAGGAACATTTTAACAAGAGAATTCAGTCTTTCCGTGATACTGAGTATACTTGGCTATCCCGGTTTATGTTCTCATTCTCTGCCAATGTTGTTGTGCTGTGGACAACTCCAGTCTTCATTGCTACATTGACATTTGGAAGTGCGATTCTGCTGAGATTTCCCCTTGATGCGGGAACAGTCTTTACTGCTATTTCACTCTTTAAGATGTTGCAAGAACCAATCAGGACTTTTCCGCAGTCAATGATTTCAATTTCACAGGCACTGATTTCATTAGATAGGTTGGATAAATATATGATGAGCAAGGAATTGATTGATGATTCAGTGGAGAGAGTAGAAGGCTGTGGGGGTGAGATTGCTGTGGATATGGAAGATGGGGCATTTAGTTGGGATGATGAAACCAGGGAAGAAGTGGTGAAAGGCTTAAACTTTACAATCCGGAAAGGTGAGCTTGCAGCTATTGTTGGGACTGTTGGATCAGGAAAGTCTTCACTTCTGGCATCGATTCTTGGCGAGATGCATAAACTTTCAGGAAAGGTAAATGTTGATTAAAGCTTTTGGGCTTTATTCTTGCCTCAGATTGCTGATTAACACCATTTTCACACTGGTCACCATACTTTCTGTTGTGTTTCAAGTTCTTACTACTATCTCAAACTCTCTTTCTTATATGGTACATGTTGCTTTGTTGTTTCAAACAGTTGATTGTTTGTCCAATGTATTATTGCCAAAATTAGATGTCTGATTGATGGTTAGCAAGATGTTTCCTTGGAATGCATGAAGTTCCTGATATACTTATGCTTATATAATCTCTAAATCACTTGCAAACTATATGTTATTCAGCTCAGGGTTTGTGGCAGTACAGCATATGTTGCACAGACATCATGGATTCAGAATGGGACGATTGAAGAAAATATCCTCTTCGGTGAGCCAATGAACCAAGACAGATATAAGGAAGCCATCAGGGTTTGCTGCCTGGAAAAGGATTTAGAAATGATGGAGTTTGGAGATCAGACTGAAATTGGAGAGCGTGGCATCAATCTCAGTGGAGGGCAAAAGCAGCGAATTCAACTTGCAAGGGCCGTTTATCAAGATGCTGACATTTATCTACTTGATGATGTATTTAGTGCTGTAGATGCTCACACTGGTTCTGAAATATTTAAGGTAAAAACTTATTAAATAAATACTATAAACAAATTTCTGCATCTTAGTTATCTTAAATCCGAAAAAACCCATGGAAAAGTTGATGCTTGGACAAGTTTTTTGTGGCTGGTGCATGTGATTGATCTAATTATATGCTTGTTTAGATTTTCTTTGTTCCAATTGTAACAATTTACAGTTTAAGCTTGATTTACTACACTCCAGTACCATTCGAGTGCATTTTCATATAACGGCCCCTATCTCTTTTTGCAGGAATGTGTCAGGGGAGCCCTCAGGGAGAAGACAATTTTACTTGTTACTCATCAAGTTGACTTCTTGCATAATGTTGATCTAATCCTAGTATGTGCAACAGTTTCCCTGATTTCATTAATGGACATTAAATTGGTAGTTATCAGTTCCACCAGATGCATCTCTGAATTTAGTCTTTAGGGAACACTGCTGAGTCTTGAAACCAGTTCCACCAATGCATATCTGAACTTAGTATTTAGGGAACTAACTGCTAAATCTTGAAACCAGGTCATGCGAGATGGAATGATTGTTCAATCAGGAAAGTATGATTCACTCCTTAATACTGGAACAGATTTCAAAAGCTTGGTGGCTGCCCATGAGTCATCTATGGAACTAGTTGAGGCGGAAAGTTCCAAACAAATCAAGACTGTGGCTGAACTTCCAAAATCCCCTCAAGAAGCCTTTAGTCCTAGGGGAGAAAAAGGGGAGGGTAAATCTCTAGACCATCCGAATTCGTCTGAGGGAACTTCAAAACTTATTAAAGAAGAAGAGCGAGAAACTGGGAAAGTTAGTCTACATGTTTACAAGCAGTATATCACTGAATCCTTTGGCTGGTGGGGTGTAATTGCAGTATTGTTTACATCCATTTTGTGGCAAGGGGCTTTAATGTCAGGCGACTATTGGTTAGCATATGAAACTTCTGAAGAGCGTGCCATGTCATTCAACCCTTCTCTGTTTATTGGGGTTTATGGCATAATTGGATGCGTTTCCTTTCTGCTGGTAACGATAAGAATCCTTTTACTTGTGCTCATGGGGCTCAAGACTGCACAGTTATTCTTCAAAGGAATTCTTCACAGTATATTGCATGCTCCAATGTCATTTTTCGACACTACGCCTTCTGGAAGAATATTAAGTCGGGTAAAGTTCCTGAGACTTATTAATCTTCTGCATATTTCTAGTAATACCAATGCTGTCAATATGCGAATAAGGTCTGAAAGTTATTGAAGATGTCTCGTTCTGTCTCTTAATCACTTTTTATACGAAATTTTGCAGGCCTCCAATGATCAGACAAATGTTGACCTATTCCTCCCACTTTTTGTGAATTTTTTTGTGACCATGTATATCACGCTTTTCGGGATCATTGTCATCACGTGTCAAAATGCTTGGCCAACTGCTTTCCTTTTGATTCCACTTGGTTGGCTGAACTATTGGTATCGGGTATGTCTGCAACTTACGCACTTTACTGTTTCCTGTTGGTATGTCTTTCATGTTCAAAACTTGGCTTTGCAATTAGTAATTCTCATTTTTTGTTTCAGGGCTATTATCTTGCAACCTCTCGTGAATTGACTCGGCTTGACTCCATCACAAAAGCACCTGTAATTCATCACTTCTCAGAAAGCATATCTGGGGTTATAACAATTCGATGTTTCAGGAAACAAAAAAGGTTCTGCCTGGAAAATGTCAACCGTGTCAATGGAAATCTGCGTATGGATTTTCACAATAATGGATCCAATGAGTGGTTGGGATTTCGCTTGGAACTCATGGGATGTTTAATCCTTTGCAGTTCTGCGTTGTTGTTAATTGTGTTACCCAGCAGCATTATTAAGCCAGGTATGTACAGTATGCATAACCCAGTTCAATCCTATGCATGTGGAAGATTGTTTTTCAGTCGACAAAGCAGTGAACTGTGAAGATATAATTACACTATTCATACTTTCCATGAGAAAAATTCCCGGTTAACTTGGTTATAATGCTTCATACAATTGCCTAACTTCATGGTTTTCTTTGATTTAGATAATTTCGCTTTACCTAGCCTACTGTTTGTTACTTAAAACTGGAGGCACATTGTATAACAGGCGACACAAATCATGCAAAAATTCTTATGCCTTTTCAGTGATGTTTCTCTGTTGTCCTTGAAATTTAAATGAGTAGTTACTGACCTCTACTCTACCTTGATGTTCAGAGCAAGTTGGTTTGTCTCTATCATATGGGCTGTCCCTCAACAGTGTGCTGTTCTGGGCAATTTATGTCAGTTGCTTTTTAGAGAATAAGATGGTTTCTGTTGAGAGGATAAAACAATTTACAAATATTCCATCGGAAGCTGAGTGGAAGAGAAAGGATGTTCTTCCACCTCCTCGCTGGCCCGATAGAGGAAATATAGAGTTAGAGGACTTGCAGGTAATTTGTTCCAACAGGGTATCCAATTCATTTTATTCTAGAAGATTATAGAATATTTGTATTCACAAGGAAAATGTCAAACTGTGACATGTAAGATAAGAATGCAAACTTCTTGAAAATAAGGTTCTGGACCTCGTTTGAGAAGTTCCAAACTTTGTCGTGCTTGCAGGTTAGGTATCGTCCTAATACTCCTCTGGTCATCAAAGGAATAACACTTGGAATAAATGGGGGAGAAAAGATTGGAGTTGTTGGTCGAACCGGGGGTGGAAAATCAACTTTAATCCAAGTTTTCTTTAGGTTGGTGGAGCCTTCAGGAGGAAGAATCATTGTTGATGGCATCGATATCAGTAGTCTTGGGCTTCATGATCTTAGGTCTCGATTCGGTATCATCCCTCAGGAACCTGTGCTTTTTGAAGGAACTGTGAGAAGCAATATCGATCCAGTTGGACAGTACTCTGATGAAGAAATATGGAAGGTATACTGCTGTTATCATTAATAGTTAAAAAGCAGTTCAAATGCTTCGATGCAATATTTCTGTCTTTTTTACCCCTCTTCTAAACCTCGTGTGTTTCTTGAAATGGAAATTCATTGATTTGTAAACTTTCTCATTTCAGAGTCTTGAACGTTGCCAGCTCAAGGATGTAGTTTCTGCTAAGCCTGACAAGCTTGATTCTTCAGGTATGCAAGTTCTCTTTCGCATTCTGAGTTTTGTCCGTGAGTCGCTTTTGTAGGTGAACTGCTTTTTCCTGCTACTTTGACCCTGGAAACCATTTTCCTGATCTTTCTCTGTGCTTCTGAATCCAATCAGTCGTTGACAATGGAGAAAACTGGAGTGTCGGGCAGAGGCAGCTTCTGTGCTTGGGAAGAGTGATGCTAAAACACAGCAGAGTTCTGTTCATGGACGAGGCAACTGCTTCAGTTGATTCCCAAACGGATGGTGTGATCCAGAAAATAATCCGGGAGGACTTTTCTTTGTGTACAATAATTAGCATTGCCCACAGAATACCAACTGTGATGGATTGTGACAGAGTTCTTGTCATCGATGCAGGTGCCTTAGTCCTTCATTTTCTATTTTTTTTTTCACTTGAGAACTGTTTCCCGGAAACTTGAGTTTTCTCTTGATCTCTCCGCCTCTTCTTTTCACTTTTTGAGTTGAGCTGCCCAAATGTTCTGGATGATTTGGTTTTCACTTTATGACTTATTCATCAATCATAGAAGCTGATTGATACATTTGAGAACTCCTGGAAGCTGATTGATGCCTTTTGTTGTGATGAAATTCTAAAGCATTATTAATTTCTCTCCAAAGGTTTGCTAACCAAGTTTTCGTTTCTCTGGTGGGATGAACAGGTAAAGCAAAAGAGTTTGACAAGCCATCTAGTCTACTGGAGAGGCCGTCGCTTTTTGGTGCATTGGTTCAAGAATATGCAAACCGATCATCTCAACTTTAACCACCGTGTCAGTACTATTCTTGGAAATTTCATAAGATTTTTCCGGCTGCAGATTCATTATGACCGAATTCGCTCATCCGGGTTCGTGTTGGAAATTCAGCTTCTCTGTTTTGGGGAAAACAAGAGAAATAAATGATTCAATGATCTCATCGAATGCTATTATTATGGTTCAAGAGAAAATAACAGTATCTGCTCGGACACTACAGCAGAAGCGTGTTGAATCAAGAATAGATAGTAAACGTCTATCAAGAAACCTCAGGTGATAGATCAGATTAGGTTCCAATTTCGTAGCATATTTACACTTGGGGACCTTTTCCAAGTGAAATTATTGATAAGCAAAATTAGTATTTGTTGCTCTATCTAGGACTGTATCTGTAGTATCAATGATGGTAAATTATCTGAATGTAAATATTTGCGATTACCAAGTTGATCTTACGAATGTTCTCTGGAAACGTTACACTGCAGATGTCTTTTCCTAATAACGATGAGCGAATGAAAACGAAAACTTACATTGTTTAGATAGATGGTTTCAAGAAAATCTTGAATAAAAAATGAATATAATCGTTCATTTCCACCAAATTCATGGTAACTTCTCAACTTCTATTATTTATCATATTTAGTTTTTTCTATAAACTTTTTTTCTCCGTATTACTCAGCCCAAACTATGTGGTTGAATAAATCCTCCTCTATCCGTCCTAAAAAAAAATCAATTTGAGTTTTGAAATTTGTATTAAAAATAATATAAAAATAAAAACTGAATTTGGACTATTTTTTTAGGGCGGAGGTAGTATAATTTTTTTAATTAATCAACCTCTTTTTCACCATTCATCTTCTTCAAAAAAAAATTTCTCTTTTTTTTTTCTACTGCATTTAAAATTATTTTTCTCCATATAGAGATATACAGTATTTAAATAAATGGATTTTCTTTGATAATCTCTTACATTTTACTATAATTATCAATTGTTAAGAGATTGAAATTACAATAGTAGTAATGAAAAATAAAATTATGAGATAATAGTTTGTTTTAGACTGAGTTGAATGTTTTTATTTCTAACAAATTTTTAATTTTTGTAAATTTATGTAGAAAATCTAGAATTTGAAGCAAAATTCATTAATGGTATCCTTAAAGTACGTTAAGACTATGTTTGGTAATAAAGTAATTAAAATTTATTTATTAATAAAATAAAAAATTCAAAATTTCCATAACAAGATTTTTAATTATATCCAAACAAAACAAATTATTTATTTTACTTTACTTTCCTTAAATTTAAAATCCAAGAAATTAATGTTAACGTTACTTTCCTTCACTTTTCTAACAACCAAATAGCCCTAAGCATAAATGTACGAAATAGTAGGTAGTAACATGAATCTAGTTATGTTCAGAAAAATGAAACAGATGATTGTTTATCCTTTCACCTAAGTCTTCATGAAAGAAAAGAGTAACTTTAGTAACACTGTTAATCTTGTCTTTTGTTCGTAACTATCAAAAACCCATCCATGCCGGCTATTTTCCTTTTTCTTCTCCGTGTGTTTTATTTAATATTTCTTCCGTCGCATAATTATTGTCTAGTTTAGATTTTCATTTCCAATCAAATTATACTGAAAGTGAAATCTCAAACTAAACAATAATTTTGAGACAGAGAAAGTATCTATAGATTTTGTCATTTATGATTTTTAATATTTTTCTTTTTTGCATATTTGCAAGGTGTCCACCGTCGGCAACAGTGACTGATCCCACTCGCTGAATTATAGGCACCTCGATAGATGGGATAGCTAATCAAAGTATTCAAGGTTGCTCCATGTCCATGACGAGATTCGAAATATTTTTCTAAAACTAAGTAAACATATAAAAAGTACCCAAATAAACAACCAAAATATAAACCAGACGACTGTTAGTGGTACGGGCGAAAAGAAATGGACATTAGAAACGCATATACAGAAGGCCAGGTTGGTAGACAAGTGCATTAGAAATACATATAACAGAAGGAAGGAGTATATGCCAACTTGTACTAATTTATTACGTCTTGCGGGTCTCAGCTAGTTTCTTTTCTGGTGTAGGATTAAGATTAATCAGTTGACTTGACTTAAGCTCTTCTTTGGATGAAGGTCTCTATACAGATTATACTTGTTCATTCATAGTCTTCGTCTTTGTAAATTCTTCCACTAAATTCGGTTAATTCGATCATCAGTATAGCCCGCGTTGCAGCCCAGAACATCGAAAGGTATCATCATACCAAAAGATTACGGGAAAAAATGTCAGCTGTTCCAGAAGCTGCAGTCACATTTCTGCTGCAGAACATTAGCCAAGTGGTCGCATACTATGGCAGTTTGATCGGCAATGCAAGGAGCAACGTTTTCGAGTTGCAACGACAACTGGAGGAGCTGAAACGGGTGATGAATGACTTCTCAAAGTATGATCATGACAGCGATGTGGTGAAAGGCGTGGTGAAGGACATCAGGGACATAATCTATGAAGCAGAGGATGCAGTTGACACCTTTGTGCTTGTTGTGGCAGCCCAGAAAGCAAGGAATTGGGTTGAAAAGCTTTACCACAAAGCAACTGTTTATCCAAGGCAACTTGTCCGGATCGGGGAATCCATGAAAATCATCAGTGAAAAAATTCAGAGGATTCAGGATAAAGGGATCCAGGATGGTCTTCAGCTCCTTCACCATCAAGCCATCCTCAAACTTTCTCAACCTGATGATGACTCCGCCTTTTCTGAGGTGAATTTATTTTTTGCAGTATACATTAACTTCTCTTGTCTTCAAAAGGGCCAAAAGTAAAATCAAATTGTTGACTACAATAATGCTTTATTTCTTTCATTGAATTTGTTGTGTTTGTACATCAATTAATTATGTTTAGGATTCAACAGGTTGTTTGCTTTTAGAACTAGGCAATTTATACGGTGAATATGGTGACCTTGTTTTGGGAATTGTAATACGCGCACATAAAAAGTGAGTAACTTTTTTTTTTTCCTTTTCTATAAATAAACTCACACGCACAGTATGGGTGGCAATTTTTTTTCTTATGACTTTATCCATGATCTTATAGTCCATCCAATCGTGGTTCAAAATCAAAACTGTAAATTTATTCATTTTGCCCATGATTTCTGAAGTTCCTGTAGCTCGTATATCATCAATCATGCATCCATTGAAAAAAAAATACATCGCTTATAAATAGATACTTTTTTCTTCTTTCTTTTTTGTGTTTGAATCTTATGAACAATATAGTAAATTTGTATGAATATTTGAATGGTATGAACAATATAGTTAGTTTTCATGAATATTTGAATCATATTAAAGAAGATGAATCGCATCCTGGTAAATACTTTTTTCTTTCTTTTTTTTTTTATGTTTGAATCGTATGAACAATATAGTATATTTGTATGAATATTTAAATTGTATGAACAATGTAATTGATTTTCATGAATATTTGAATCATATGAACAATTATATTGTCATGAATATTTTACATCGTGTGCAAGTTTTAAACATATTTTTAAGAATTTAAACAGTCAATTATGTTGTTATGAACATTTTAATTATATGTCAACATCATGAATATTTGTATTTTATTCCATGTATAATATTGCAAAATTGTATTATGAACTTTCTATTACTACTTTTGAAGTTATTTGTCATGAACATGACGTACACGAATTATGAATACCGTAATTATATTAAAATTTAATATATCTTATGAATATGACTCATATTAGGATTTGAATAATTAAGATTTATATTTTGAATTTTGAATTCCTAATTTATAGAGGAGAAGATTACAGTGTTATATGTTGAGATTATTTCCATAATAAATATTTTGAAGAATTAATTATATAGTTAAATTAGAACGCGTGTTCGCATATAACCTGTGTACCAAATATGGTGAACACGGTTCACAATATAATCACTGTTAGAACTGATATGAACTGTTATATTATACCTTATTTCTTCTTTGAGTTGTTATTTATGGAACTTTAGTAGTCATGAATAAGCGGTTGTTTGATAGGGTGAAGTCAAGGAACCAGAAGTTGAACAGGAAAATGTGATTGGTTTTGATGAGGCAGCCCAAACAGTTCAAGAACTCCTCACGGAGGGAGCTGAAAAGCTTGAAGTGATCTCAATAGTTGGAATGTTAGGACTGGGGAAAACCACATTGGCTACGAAAGTTTTCAAGGACTCGAAGGTTGATTACGAGTTCATGATCCGGAAATTTGTCTATGTTTCAAGGGAATATAAGAAAAAAGAAGTGTTGCTCAAGATGTTGGAGTCTGTAACAGATGTTAATGAAAACATGAGTAAGATGGGAGAAAAAGATTTGGAGAAATATGTTTCTGAAGAGTTGAAGGGAAAACAATATTTGATTGTGTTGGATGATGTGTGGGAAACAAAAGATTGGGATAACTTGAAAGGAGCTTTCCCAGAGAACAACAAGCGATGTAGAGTTCTAATAACTACTCGCCAAGCAACAGTGGCAAATCATGCAAATCCATACAAAGATCCTTATGTGTTAAACTTTTTGACAATTGACAATAGTCTAGAGCTACTGGATTGGAAGATTTTCAAGGGCAACAAATGCCCAAAGCATTTACTGGAGTCCGAGACAAAAATTGCAGAAAAATGTGATGGGTTGCCTTTGGCATTAGTGGTTCTCGCAGGCATCCTTGTGAGTGATCCAGAGAATGCCGAATTGTGGAACAGTGTGGCAGATAGTGTGGAAGATTACATTGGTAGAGAAATGACACAAACTCGCAAGGTACTTGAGCTTATGTACAAACACTTGCCAAACAAGTTGAAGTTGTGCTTCCTTTATCTTGGGTTGTTCCGTGAAGACTTTGAGATTCCAGTGTGGAAATTAGTACGTATATGGATTGCAGAAGGGCTTGTAGAAAGGATGGGAACATAAACTTGGACTATATTGCAGAACAATTTGTGGAAAATCTTGTGGGTAGAAACTTGTTGATGGTTGGACAGAGGGGGTCCAACGGAAAGATTAAAACTTGTCGTATGCATGATACGCTACGTGAGTTTTGTAAGAAGGAAGCTGAAGAGGAGAATCTTTCCAAGAGATCAACGAGAAGAATCTCAATACCTTTTTGTCAGGAGATCTGAAATTGGAACAATATCGTCGCCTTTGCATCAACAATATCAATGTTATGGACTATCTCTCTGGAAGGAACCTCTCTGGTAAGCGTGTTCGTTCTTTCCTAACTTTTGTGGAGCGTGAAACGCTTGTTGATCCAAAATATATACCTCGAATCCCAGCAATCTTCAAGCTTCTCAGAGTATTGGAAGCTCAATCACTCATTTTTGCTCGTTGTCCTGATATGTCTAGCCTCATTCTCCTAAAATACATAGCCATTTCTGTGAAATTTTTGAGAATCTGCCTGATGCATTGTCTAGCTTGAGGAACCTACAAACTCTCGTAGTCCATACAAGCTGCCCTAACCTTAACATCAAATGGGATATGTGGAAGAAGATGCCACAATTTCGGCATCTACATACTAATGCTTCTACCGATCTGCCAGCCCTTTGTAATGGAATCGATCAGAATGAAGGTTGAGAAATCCAAACTCTTTTCACCATTTCACCAGAGAGTTGCAGAAGTGAAGTCTTCGAGTGGTCTCCCAAACTCAGAAAACTAGGCATCCGTGGCAAGGTAGCCACACTTTTCAACACAAGCGGTCACTCAGAAGTCTTTGGCTATCTCAGAAGGTTAAACTACTTTCGGAATCTGAAGCTACTGAATGATGTTGTGGACTCCCCATTGAGCAGTCTTCCTATGGAGAGATGCTTTCCCCAAAAGCTGATGAGACTAACTCTGGAAAAGACTCTTTTGGAATGGAAAGAGATGTCCATATTAGGCAAGCTTGAATTTCTGGAGGTTCTCAAGCTGAAAGAGTATGCATTTAAAGGAATGCGTTGGGATGCCGAAAAGGATGGTTTCAAGAATCTCAAACACCTGCACATTGGGCGCACTGATTTGGTTCTGTGGGTCTGGGAGTCTCAAGGTGAGCATTTTCAAAATCTCGGAAGTCTTCAGCTTATGGGATGCTTTAAACTTGAGGATTTGCCCAAAGGGTTGGCTGATATTCACCACCTGCAGTCAATAACTCTCCACTCTTCCAATTCTAAAGCAGCAGCCAAAGCCAGGAAGATTCAAGTGTTGAAACTGGAAGCGCAGCAGAAACATGAAAACGCCAACAAAAGCTTTACCAACCTTAAGCTATCTATTTATCCACCAGACTGTTGATTTTTCTTTCCCTGCAAGGTAACTGAGTAAAATCTCAATCCATTAACATCCATTTGTTATTCTTTCTGCTACACTGATAACATCAGCATTAGGTACCAATTACTGAAGTTCTGATTTAGTTTCTACGCCTTTTCAGATTTATCCATCAGCCTGCGCATTTTCACCTGTTATGTTTGTTTTTCTGTTGGATGCGAAGAGCAAGATAAAGAAGCATAGATTTGAGAAGCACAAAAGTCTTCATCAAACTGACTTGACAACTTTCAGCTTGAATCCATTTATTCTTGGGTTCGGTTTTTGTTTTGGGGTTGTACTTTAAAATTTCAATTCTCTTTTCTTTTTTTTCTGTAGAAGTACTAATAACTTGGTGTTTGAACTTTGAACTTCTACTCAAAGCTTCCACTTGGTTGGAATTCAAACATCATCGCCTTTTGCAAGTGTCAAGGTGAAAATCCGCAAATGCATGGTACTAGTCCAAGGCAAGAGTATCTTTCTGTGGCAGTTGATAAATCCGTCCTCACTTTCTGCCCCTGTACACTTTAACAGGGGCCTTGATTTGATGCTGAAAGCATTACACTAGCCTTATCAAACCAAACATCCAGAAATGCAGAAAAGTGTGTGCTTGAATGGAAGTTAAATGAAGAATGAAAAGGTTGGTTTTTCTTCGTCAATTAATTCACAGAAGAACAGAGATATGACATTAATATGAACTGGATTAGTCATATTAATTCAGATCTGTCACATGATTTTACAAAATTCAGATCTGTCATATTAAGTCATAAACAAAACAAAGCTCTCTTCCTGAATAGCTAATCAACTAATGACAAAAGCAAATTCTATGCAACATAAATAGCAAATAACTTGATTTCATTTGTTACAGCGTGTAGCTGATCAAGCTCTCCCTTGGAGTGAAGAGGATAAACTCACTTAACAAAATTAGTAAAAAATTGGCAATAATGTTTGGATCCAATGGCCAATCCTCCCAAAACTCTTCTCCCCAGTCAAACTAGAACAGACAAAGTTCTGCAAAATTTCCACTTTGTTCCGTTACCAGAAATCCAGAATCATGAACTACAAAGCCTGAATGTTGGGATCCAATTTCCAACCCCTGAAATAGACTACCTAGAGAAATAACACTGCGCCATCCTTATTTTTGAAGGCAACAGACCAGGCAGAAGCCGATCGAGTTTCCAGGGGACCAATTTGCCCTTATATTGATTGTTTCAAGGGGACCAAATTTCCCAAGTTTTTTTCACGAAAATCAACAATATTTTGTTTGGAGATTAAATCCTGAACTCGGGATGAGCTACATAAATCCTAAGGAAATCTTTTCCTGTCCATTTCTTCAATATAGTCAGTAGCATCATTGTATTTACCCCCTGAGGAAGTCCTAGAACGATGTAATTGCAAAATAGCTTCATTTTCCCACGTAACCATTTACTTTCATTTGGGCAAAAAGCTCTTCAGATTCCTCCAGCAAACCTTGTCTGCAAAGGGCACTTACCATCGTAGTATATGTTGTAGCATCAGGATCAAATCCTTTTAGAGATAAACTGTGGAAGATCTTTCTTGCAGCATCAATTCTTCCACTTTTACACAATCCATCAATGATGATGTTATACATAGTTATATCTTCCTCCACTCCATCCATTTCCATCCCATGGAATAGTAGCAATGCTTCATCAACATGCCCATTCTTGCAGAGACCATCTAACATCACACAATAGGTGTAAAATGTAGGTTTCAGGCTACTGAGTTGCATCCTACGAAATATTTCTTTTGCAGTATCACACTTCCCGAGTTGAAACATTCCTTTCAGGATAATGTCGTACATTTTAATATCAGGAGTTAATCCCTTTAGATCAATCTCCCGGAAGATGTTCATTGCCTCTTCAAATTTCTTTCTCTTAAAGTATCCATGCATCAAAATATTGTAGGAGGTGATATCAGGAATCAATCCATCAGCAACCATGGCGTCAAAAACTTTTTTGGCTATATGTGTCTGGCCATTCAAACAATATCCATGCATCAGTGTATTGTATGTGAAAATATCAGGAGTTTCACCTTTCTGAACCATGGTTTCATATACATCATAGGCATCTTTCATCAATCTGTTCTTGGAAAATGAATCTATTAAGATATTGTAAGTGATTACATCTAGAGCAATACCATAACTGATCATCTCTGTCACCAACCTTTTCACCTCGTTCCATTTGCCTGAATAACAAAAACCCCGAATCAAGCAATTGTAAGTGACAACATTTGGGGCAATGCCTTTCTCAATCATCTCAGCTAAGAGACCAAGAGCTTCATCCATCCTATAATCCTTACAGAGGGCATCGATAACAGAGTTGTAGATGATGGCGTTGGGTTTAGTATCTCCATTTTCCATGAGTCTGAGGAACTCCATACCTTTACTGATGTTCCCAGCCTTGGACACCCTGTCTATAAAAATCCCAAACATTACCTCATCTGGTCGACACAGCTGTTCCTTTATAATCTTCGTAAATAATTCTTCTGCATCTGTAACACTATGTAGTCGAAAGTAACCATTAAGTAAAGTGTAAAAGGTGAAGGCATCAGGCACAAGTCCAAGCTTAAAAAAGGTTCCTAATATAGCAAATCAAAATTTCACTAGACCCTCTTGGCAATAGCAACTTACAACCAAATTCAGTGTGCGCTCATCTATTTGGATGCCTCGAATGCGCAGATTTTTGTAAAGTGAAACGGCAAACAAGTAATTCTTCGTCTTGAGAAGGCGTGCAATAACTCGGTTGAAGTGAATCATGTGAGGGAGAGGCTTCATTAGGACCATCTGATCATAGATTTTGCGAGCATCATCAAGATTGTTAATTTTCTTTATAACATTCCTCAGGTTCCCAAAGGTAATAGACTCAATGGATTTCAAGCTAGAACAATTACTGTCAACAACGATTTCTGCAGAAGAATGGAAGCCGAACCGGGAATTGGGACATAGATTCGGAGGATGAGAATGATGCTGAAGAGCTCTCACATTACCAGCAGTTACAGCAGGAAAGATACATGATAGAAAGTTGGCAATCTGAGATACACTAGCCAAAGCAACAACACCATAACTTGAAGCATTTCCTTTATTCATCTTATAAACCACTTCGCCGGACCAGCCAACAATAGAAATCCTTTGCCAAAGAGTTGTAAATTGTTCAGCTTGGTTCTCCTAAAACGACTTAGTACGATTCAATTTCTTTAACTAGGGCACTCACAATTAAGGATGTCCAGTTCAATAGCAAATGAAACAATTGAACAAATGCAGAGTCTTGGAAATCTACCCTACCAAGAAACACAGAGAATTTCATCCCACATTTTCAAACCCAAGGAATCAAAATATTGCCCGCGGAAAATTTAAAGGAAAGAAAAAAAGAAAAAAGAAAAACGGAGATTCTCAAGAAAGAGCAATAGGGTTGAAGAAAATAAAACGTACCAGCTGTATAACCACGGCAGTAGCAGCAGCAGAGCAATGATCGCAATTACATCTTTTTCCTCGATTTACATTCTATCCCAAATTAGGGTTCTTGTCGCAGAAGAAAAAGCCGCCAAAATGGGGCCGAAACTCCGTGGATTGAACCGAAAGAATCGTCCCTTTTATGTTTTTCTTTCTTTTTTTTTTCCAGCAGCAAAAATAATTCAAAAAAACTTAATTAATTAATGTAGCCAATGATCCATAGTGGAACCTTGGAAATTAAATAAAGTTTTACCTCCTTCCATCCCAATTCAATATACTCATTTAGACAAACACGGTAATAGGTTAAACGGTTAATTTTTTAATAATTTACTACTTAATATGTCTCATTAGTGATTACCAATTAATATAATGATATTACGAGTTAAATTCAATTAAATATTCTTAGATTAAAGAGTTACTAATTAGGGTATATTAGACAATTTATAAATAAATTAATATTAATGTCTGAGATGAGACTGAATTTTAAAAAATTTTACTATAAAAGAAAATGTCCCTATTGAATTGAAATGAAAGGAATAATTATATTGGAGGAAAAAGCTTTGGTAATCCCTTATGAAAATTGTCTCCAGAATCACATCTAACCAACAAATACTACTACTATATTTGTTCTGTTGTTCTTTTATTGACCATCGGAAGGTAGCATCGGAATATTCATTGATTCATCAGCGTTAATATAAACTCAACGTGTATATTTTTTTGTTATAATTTATGACTAGATGTTCGGCTCGGCCGGATGCCCGGACGGCCACTTGTAGTTTAAATTGTTTAAATGAAAAAGACAAATCATCCGAGAAAGAATAGTAATATTTTTATTGTAATTTATGTATTACAATGATCGTTAATTAACTTTTGTCTTGGGTGAATAAGAATAGAATTTGATCCAAATTAAGGGTGTTAGTTTTCCAAGCCGCCAACTTTAGTTCTTTCAACCACAAATTTCTTATTTGGACCATTTTACCATTGTCATTTTTTTCAAATCGAATAACTTAACTAGAGAGAAAACTAAAATAAAAAAAAACGACCGAATATTGCTATTTAGATTTTTTGCTTTTTTTTGTAATTAAAAAATAGCAATATTTGTTATTTAAAAAAGTCTAAATTTTTTTTAAAAAAAATCAATTGGATTCATCGCTATTTTTTTAATTTTTAGATTTTTTGTAATTAAAAAAATAGCAATATCTGTTATTTAAAAAAGTCTAAAAATTAAAAAAAATCAATTAGATTCATTGCTATTTCTTAAATTTTTAGATTTTTTATTTTTTTGTAATTAGTTAATCTAGTTTTTTAGGCCATTAAAATCTTTATTCATTAAATTTATGAATAATTTATTATTTGAGTTATATTAAGTATCACCAATCTTTGTAGTACAAAAAATAGTTAATCTGTTTGCACATATTTTTCACAATTTTTGTAGTACAATTATTATTTTTGATTATAAATGTATAATTATTATTTTAACTATAAATTATTAATAATGATTGAAGCAAAATTTTATATTCTAATATCAATTCAAATAAATTAACTTAACGAATAATCTTAAATTTGTTTTCAAGTAAAAACTAATTACTTGCTTATTTTCAAGTAAATATAAAGTTGAGAGTTTACCCGGCTCTCTCTCTCTCTCTCTCTCAATTTGGTTTGGTCAAATGACATGGACAAAATGGTCAAAATTGAAAACTTATGACTGATAAAACTAAAACTTGTAGCTAGAAAATTCTCTCCCTGACTAAGATTGTCGACTTGTACACCAAACCTTCACAAAACTAAACTCACACCACTATCAAACAACACCAAGATTCCTCCACTTTTTAAACTCACCAGAAGATAGCATAAATAAGCTAGCATTTCGATGACCTCCACCGCCAACTTTCTACTTGTCATTGCACACAATGCATCAAATCTAATTACCAATCATGGGCCAAAGGCGGAGAGGGGCAACAACCATAATTAATTTCGTTATTTACAATATCTAGGGAGCAATCAACGTGAATTCCCTCCCCCAATTTCTATAAAATGTAAAACATCTAATTTTATATTATGTCCATTATTACAATGAATTTAGGTTGTAAAATTGGGCTAGAACCTTTAATATATGAAATGTCTTATTAGGAGTGTTGACTTAGACAAATTAAGCATTTCAACCGTCTCTTTTTCACAGATTTGATAAGGGAAGGGATATTTCCATCATAATTAGGCAAAAGTTAGTGTTTCCTAATTCTTCAAAAACGTTTAGATTGTGCATATAAGAAAAGGCAAAGTAGAAAGAACCAAGTGAAAATTAGAAGACCACATCCTCGTTCAAATGAGTATGCCAAACATCCATCAAGAATACCAATTTCCCACAACTCAATAGAAGGAAACAATCGACTGCAATCCATTTCGATAGATTTCAGAAATCGAAAAAGCCAAAAAGACTACATTTTGGTTGTGCATTCGCAACAGTAATCATAGTAAAGCAGAGTTGGACGGCAAAGGACTAAAAAGTCCTAGATGAACTTGAGTAACCATCAGTTCTTCAATATGAGCTTCAGTAAAACATTAACAACATGCGGCCTCCTAGTTGTAATGATTAGTGAATTTCATATAGCAATTTTGAGCTAATAGCAGCTAAACCTAAGAACTACTACATTTTTAAGAAGTAATTCAATGGAGAAATGAATGCTAAAGTATACTACAAAAGAACAAATTAAGATAAGAAAGGAAGACGGAAAAAAGGAAAGATCTTGGTTGCAAGAAGATAGTAACCTTCAATTGACTTAGCCGGCCAAATCCCACTTTTCATGAAGCGGTTAGTTGGAGTAACTCTCCTCAGTACATTGATCAGTGACCCAACTGCCAAGTCCGCGACATCGAAAAATAACTTATAACAAACAAACACATCTTTTAGGGCACTAAAGTTATCGTATCAAGCCGTAATTCGAACTTGATGGCTTACTTCCCTGCATATGAGAGATAAACTGGGGCTAAAGCAGACAAATTTGATGATGATGAAGGCCCTCCATAGCCCAAAATCCTATACCCACCATCATCCTTTCTGTGTTTATCCGCTTTGTGTTCAACTAATAAGAAAGAAAAAAGCCAAACAAAGAAATTCGGATCAGAAATACCAAGCAGAAGCAGCAATTCAACACTTTAAACTCAATTAATGAGTCAACTAACCAGAAATTTCCAGAAACCCAAGAAGACACTTTCTTCAAAAATTTCACACATTGACCAGAAATTCCACAAAAAAAAAAAAAATACTACCATTTCTTAAAAAAACCGCAAACCCATCCATCATCACTTTGAAACCTACGTGAAAGTGCAAGAGACAATTACATGAAAATACTGCTTTCATTAAGTAAAAGGGATTGCTACCGAACTTTTCAGCAAATTATCCTTGAGCCAAGTTCATTTCAGCTAGCTCCTGGAATTCTGGATGATTAGATCCTCATTAAGTCTTCCTGAAAGATTATGAAACTGTATGTATAACAAAGCATGACTTGGAAACAAAGGAACCCTTAAGCAAAACTGAGTGTAAACAACACGAAGAAAGTGTGCATCTTTGTGTACATAAAATAGAGACAAACACGGCAGTTCCAGATCCTCAGAAGGGACTATATCCCATGACATTCAATAAAAAAAATGGATAAGTACTCAAAACCATAGCCTAAACTGACTACCTCCACACGAAAAATCTATAGGATGAAATACAATTAGGAACCGAAGAAAACCTCTAGATTCCTTGATTTTTCCAGTCATACAGCAATGAAACAAATTGGGAGTAGTTCTTCACCAAATTCTAAATTCTTGTGGGCTCGGATAACTCGTACTTGTCATTCTCCTGCAGGAGTAAAAGGAAAAAAAAATGAAATTAGGTTTATCAAGTTCCTATTATCCATTTATCCTTATAAGACCTTAACTTTATAAAGTTGATATTATCACTCTATCCTACACCACCTTTGCCTTTAAATAGTTGAAAGATTGCCCCATGTACCTAAAGGGATAATTAAATGATATGAAACTATTCTTAGGTTTATCACATTTTCGTTTAGGGAATTTGAGAGCAAGGTGATAACCAACTGGACAACACATTAGCAAAAACTAGCAAGATAATGGAAGAATTTGATTACCCTCAGAAACAGTGTGATTCGTGCTCCCCCGGTAAAGAGATTTGGGGGATCAATTTCCTCCCTAATCACATATGAACCGTTGTCTGCCTCAACTTCCCAAATAAATTGCTTATTACACCTTGGACTTTTTTGTTGATATATAACAACCTGATTTATAGAAACGTAACTCGGTGAGTTGTATAACAGAGCCAAATGAAACATTGCGCAAGCTGACCAAAAAGATTTCTCTAAGTTTTAAAATTCTTTTATTAAAAAGACTATTAAAGAAGTAAGCAATCTGAAGCTATAAACATAAGATGTATTTAATAAATAAATCAAAATCTTCCTTAAAAAAATCCGATAAAAAATCCCATATGAAAGAAGGAAACTCAGACCCATTGGAGCTTAGATGGCTTTTTAGCCTTTTAGTTTACCTAAATCCTGAAAACGTTTGAAAAGAGAGAAACCCAAAATCCAAGCAGTTGAATATGAAGTCCTAGAGTGAGAACTGAGAACAAAAAGCAGTACCTCAAAATCTGCACAGTTAAGACACCAAAAGTTTAAGAATTGCTGCTCGTTATCGACACCCCCTATCAAATTAGATTTGATTAGTTTATCTACGTATTAGTTAAACATGGCCAATCAAATATTTGCTGCCAAACCTCTAGCGAAATTGCATTCCCTTAATCTTGGGCCTAAAGAAAGAATTAAAAAATTAATTAGAACAATCTTATAGATCTCCAATGAAAACATCATAAGCATGATGAGAGATGTTGAGGAATTTCTTACAATGATGAAAAAAAATCTCTTTCTTAGATGAAACCGAAGTGGAAGGGGAACAACAACTCCATTAACATCAAACAAAGCTTTACAACTCCATTTCTGGTTTCTTCAGAGGTTTTGTGAAGTAATTGATGGCCCTGTTTCCGCGGGACTTCTTCTTCGGGGTGACAATCTGGACTGATGTGGAGAAGATCTTGATGAGGCGACGGTGGCAAGTGAAGAAGAATTTATTGCTGGTCACAGCCACGGATGAAGCTGTGGTGGAGCCATTCTTTATGGGGGTTTTCTTCGGCTCTGAGAAAAAATTTACTCCAGTCGTTTCCAACACTAACGGCCCCCACTACCGCCTTCAGAACCCCTATCCAAGAAATTACTTTGAAGTCTTCCATTGTTCGCGAAGAATTTGCATCCGAGTGCATTATCTGATGCCTAAATAAAGATTGGTATCTCTTCCATCCAACCCTTTTAGTTTGGGGTGGTTCAGCCAAAAAAAATTTAAAAGATATGGATAAAAAGATTTTATTTTTTTTTTGGTGGGCATAAGTAGATGTCCCAGATTTGGTAAATTCGAAAATTTAATTAAAATGAATATCGATTCTGTCAAATCCAACACAATTAAATATAATAAAAAATTATAAATTTTCTTTATTTCGAAAAAAATGGAAAATAGAGTCAAAAGGTGAACAATGAATTCGAATTTGCGAAATCCGAAAAGAGTTAAATTTAATATTTAAAAAATTCAGCAAATTGGCGGGAAAATTCAGATATTGGAACATTGAACTCGGATTTGGCAAGTCCGAGTCCTAGGGTTTAGGGTTTAGGGTGACCTCTCGAATTTGCCAAATCCGAGGGCATCCTTTCAGTTTTGGGGGTAATCCGTCCTTGTGAATAAGGTTGTTGGATGTATTAAATCGGATCGGATAAGGTGAAAGACATTCGGATTTACCAAATCCGAGAGACCCACATGAATAGTGACTCTCGGATCTGCCAAATCCGAAACATACGTGATATAAAAAGAAAAAGTTGCAGCTTCCCTTCATATCGGGTTTTTCAATTTGTGAGGGTTAGTGAAGGTTGTGGCCGGAGTTATTGAGGCTTTTGGACGCACATTACAGCTAAATGCAACAAGAATCGTCATTCTAACGAGGTTATTCATTAAATCAATGTTTTGAGTTGTTTTGTT